AAACCATGTACTATTATAATACAGTAGACACCGCCTATGATAGAAACGACATGACAGTCGATACTGTCTAAAGTGACGAAAAACTGTATATTTCTACTTCCAAAGCAAAAATATTTTGCACTGGCACTTCAGGTAAAGCGAAAAGTACAAGGTGTGTATGATTTCGCACAAATAAACCGTAAACAAACATCAAACTATTAAACTAACTCACGGGAAGCTCTTAATCATAATACTATTTATATTAAATGTTGCCAATGTTTGTCTGAGTCTTCGCGGGGGGTCGAATTTTCGTGACGTCAATTGCGGACAACGCTATTGTATGAAGTAAAATATAACTTTTGGAACACACACATTTGATACAAAATTAGGTTGTATTTGAAAAATGGAGAATTTGAGAAGAAAAGTTAAGGGGTTCTGGAAACAATTGACATTTAGGCGCGGTCACTACAGTAATCAGAGCTACAGTAATATAAAATTAGAAACGTAGTTATAACAACCGGCAACCAGCTCGTACCCATGCAGGTCAACAACTGAACAAAGCCTTGAAAGCCCGCAAAATTCGAAATGGATATTTTATATTTATTGGCGATGAGTCATCACGCATATAATTATAAAATTCGTGAGTTGTGATCGAATTTGGCGGGCTTTGTTCAGTTGTTGACGTTTACTACTTTGCTGATATTGAATTAGTGCCCGAGCCCAAAGGTAAAAACAAGTATTGGTATCAACCTTTATGCGTGAGGTCATGGTCGAGTATCACGTAAAATTGCTGTAACGAACGACGCGGGAAACCCATGCAAAAAACCTTTCCAGAATGCAGATTTCATGCATCATAATTTATTTGTCGTTCAAAGTTAGATATAAAGGAACAACGAAACTGAAATTTAGTGTCGCGCAATTGCTATAATACCAATCAAAGTTTGCATTCAACGTTGTGGCCCAAAAATGTGCTCATTTATATATACGATGAATTAATAACAAATCGAGAAGTTAATATAGTAATTAAATTGTTGTTATATACAGTAGTGTGCGATAAATCACGGTCAAAACAGTGAAATCTCTCACATTGTGATTGATAAATATTGATCATGAAGGTCCACACACACCGGACGCGATTCGACAACGCGACGCGATTTCTTAGTTTTTGAAAGTTAATAAAACAGCCAATGAGGGAAAATTTTAAAAGATATGTAGACCAAATAACTCAAAATTTTATAGCGATTCTAAATATTTGGAAAATTTAAACCAGGATCAAAGTCAGTGAAAATCGAAAAATCGCGTCGCGTTGTCGAATCGCGTCCGGTGTGTCTCGACCTTGAGGCTACAAATGCAGTCTGAAATTAGACGGACGAATAAAAAATATAAACCCGTTTGGTCGCACTTAATTACCACATATTCTTACGAAAATCACGAAATTTTTACTTTACTGTGAATAGTGGTAAAATCGAGTTTCATTGTTCATACAAAACCAATACTTTATTAGAATTTGGACGTGGCCCCGCCCCCTTGTATCTTCGAGGCTGCTCCATTGACTGTTCGGAGTACTCCGGATTTTCGGAACACTAATTAAATCGAACCAATAATGGTCACATGACTGTTGTAACGGTCACATGACTGTTCTGGCTGCCCCTACTTGAGTAGGTAATTGAATAGGTGAAATTGAGATAGTATTGTCTCAATTTCCGTTCAGTGACTTCCGTTGAGGTTGTTGGGCGTTTGCCGATTCATGCTCTGTTGACAGTGTTGTGTTGTTCGATTCTTGAGCTGTTGGATTGTACGTTGAGCTGTTGGATTGTACGTTGCGCTGTTGGTTTGTTAGGCTGTTTGTTGGGTTTGTTGGGCTCTTGGCGAACTTGTGGCTTCACATTGAAGAACATTTGCCCGCCACGTTTTTTTACAAAGTTCGCGATCATAAATACCATCATACGACATCACCGCCCCACTTTACAAATTTGTTTGTAGTAAAAGAAAATTAAGTTTCGGTAATGCGATTGTTTAGCGAAAATATCACTTATTTCTTTTTGTTCGCTCTGGCAGAACAAATTCATCTGGTGTGAATTCCCAGTTCAATACCCCATTCTTAATCGAAAATGAATAACAGCACTTCCGTTGGGCTGTTGGTCCCAACAAGAATCCCAACAGAAACAAGCCACCCCTGAAGGAAGTGTAGGGAGATCTAATGAAGTGTTTGGTGGTCTAAGGAAGTCTGAAGGATATTAAATGTTTGGGAATTGGGACATTCCATGGGAATTGTCACTGATAATTATAAAAATACTGTTCTTTAATTTTCGATTTCTATAGCTACAGCGGAAAATGCTGAATCTGATGAGGTACGTTGCAAAATTATTCATGATGAAATTGACATTGTGCAAAGCCAATCCAATCACCCCACCAGAATTTTTGCAGTTACAAATCTAATACTGGAAATTAAATCATTGTTTTTTAGTTACGTTTATTATAAACCTCTGCTCGTGGTATTTAAAAATTTAAACAACAGCTAATTGTTATCGGTTGATTGTGTATACCTTTAGATTTCATATCAAAAAAGTCAAGTTAATGAGCAGGAAGTCAATGATTCTGTTGTAGCTTGGAATACTCAGAAAGTATCGAAACGACGTGTTCTTGAACACCCAATGTAAGTTCTCTCACCGTAAGTTCTGTTCTTATACTGTAGTTATAGTTTCTGCGTGTGCATAATATAAAGAGAGACTTGAAAAGTAAAACAATTTATGCATTTGAAATCTTCAGAGTTGCGTTTAATTTCTTCATTCTGTAAGCAGTGGCGTAGTCAGGGTTTACAAATTGAGGAGGGGGCGACAAGTTGAGGGCCAAAGGCGGGAACAATGTAGGGGGGTCGGGGGCATGCTCCCCCAGAGAAAATGTTGAAATTCAGAGCCACTGAAACGCCATTTCGTGCATTTTGGGGTGAAATTTTACAAAATTCAAAAGATTATAACATCATAATTCGGTCAAAATGCCTGCGTCTTCAGTTATTAGATAACGAATAACAAGCTGGTCATAAAATCGGATCAGTGTTAGCCCCCCCCCCCCAGTTTCTCAACGGATTTAAACATATCTCGAAGGTGCATGGTTCTGGAGGAGAGTGGGGGACTCGTCCCTCCCATGCGCTCTCCCTTACCGCTCAGTTATAGGCCTGGGTAACTTCCCTAGCTGTACTTCAAACCTCATGGAAATAGAGTTTGGTTGCTAATCTCCTGTGCTTTGAAAGACTTTTTGCGGGCCCTTCAGTTTTCCTCTCACACAAAAACCTAATCGTGCACTAGGCCTTAGTTGTCGAGAATATCATGAGCCTTTCCCTTGTATGAATTATGCAACCACACCCTGTGTAATCGACATTATCATTATTATTGATTCAGTTGACTGTTGTATTTTGTAGTTTACCTAAAAATGGTGAAAAGAACGTCCTCATTACTTCAGCACTTCCTTACGTGAACAATGTTCCTCATTTAGGAAACATTATTGGTTGTGTTTTAAGTGCGGATGTATTTGCAAGGTAATGCATCCTTTAGAAACTTTAATTTTATACTGTCCACAACATTTAAATGTAAAACATGAAGGGTTTATCAAGTCCCAGCGTACTTATAGTCGGTGAAAACCGATCATCGGAAATCCAATCGAACAGTCGATGGTAATCGATGTTAATTACTTAATTGATATCGATTGACATTGGCCAATCGATGACCAGTGGATAGTCACAAAAAGTTATGGCCAATTTCATCGATTTTCGTCAATTTTTATCGACAAAATGCTTTCGATTTTTATCGCTTTATATCCTAAAAAGTCGCCGCGTGTCGGTTGTTCGAGCTAAATAGTAGCCTAAATCTGTTCCCATTTTTCGAAGGTACACACGCATTTGATCTGTATAGCCAGATAAAAAC